TATATATATATATATATATATATATATATATATACATACACACACAAACACACACAATTTTTCTTTGTCTGCAGGCCATTTATGCAGGCTGTCTTTTCTAATGCACTGCAGAAAATGTAGAGGCCTGATTGATATATATGATAGTTTTATGTTTGTTGCAGTTTTCCTGTCTTAGCTGAGTGCATTACTCTATTATATTATAGCAAACCGCGTAGATGTGAATGTAAAAACTAATCTATATGCAAAGCATGTGTGACGCTTTATTCACTCTGCAGGTCTAACCAGTGAACCCTAAAAGGTAACTCTTATTTCTTCATCTGAATTATCATAACCTGCCCTTTGTATTGCATATCACCACCAATAATGATATCGGCTGTTTAGACCTCTTGCTTCATGTCTTTGTACTTTTGTCTGAGACTGGCAGATATATTTTACAGTAAGAAATAGCTGTTACAATGTAGGGCCCCTATGCATTTCCATAGCACATTTTTAATGCATGTCAACCAGACACACAGGTTATTCATTGTTTTAAAAGGTGCTGGCTCACGTTTGTGTGATGTGTGTACATGTGTAGGCATGCATTATAGAGATTATTGATGACATCGACAGTACATCATATGTATATAAAAATGCATGTAAAGAGACACAGAAAAGGGAAAATCCAGCCTTAGTGTGCAGTGGGATATACAGTACATGCTGTATTATTTGGATAAAAGCTAGCATTAACAGGGATCTCAAGGTATCGTGATTTTTGGTGCTGCGGTTGGAATCAATGAAAAAACACTTAAAGATACCCTGTTACAAGCTTAAAAATGCAGGCAAAAGCACGGAAAAATTTGGTTTTTTAGATGCTTACTTGCAGCTTTTTTCCTTTCCATAACAAACTTTTTTTTAATCAATCAAATGCAGCATGCCTTTGAATGGGCAGCACAGTGGCTAAATGGTTAGCACTTCCGTCTGGCAGTGCTAGGATCGTCGGTTCGAATCCAAACCACGACACTACCTGCCTGGAGTTTGCATGTTCTCCCTGTGCCTGCGTGGGTTTCCTCCAGGTACTCCAGTTTCCTCCCACGCTCCAATGACATGCTGGTAGGTTAACCTTCCTAGCGGTAATCCCGAGTGTGACTCGGGGTTAATTTCAGTATCAAAAGTGGTAACCCTGAGCAACACTTGGGATTACACTGCAGTGATCCCTTGAGCCTTACCTTGTCCTGTGATCCTGTCAAGGTCCTCCTGCTGTGTCATGTGTGCCGGCCAATGCCGGCATCCCTCTTCTGGGTTCTGTTCCCTGCGAGCGTCGGAACATACAGGGGGCAGAACCGGCAGGAGATTCAAAAAAGTAAAAACATGACATACACACAATACATTGTAATCTGTTAGTATTACATTACTGTATTAAACCATTTCACCTACATTTTGTCCCTAGTACTTTGTCCTGTGCCCTGCCTGCACTTGTACCGTTCTTTCTGCCTGGAAACTGAGAAACGTCCATGGCATCCAAAAAGTGTCCCATGAGGTCATAAGCAGTTTTAGACCAGCTAGAATACAGCAATAATAAATCAGAACCACTTGCAGAATTGAGTGATAACGATTCGTGGGGAAATTCGTCATCAGACACTGAAAACGATTCTGCGACTTTGCTCAGCGATGTGCGAACTTGGTGTTCTATTTCAAATTTAAGTGTTTTTGGTTTGATTACATTATTGAATTAAATGTATTATATTATTATTTTTTATAATTGTTTACTATATTATAATTTAGGATTTCGTGTTTCAAACTTTATCATACCGGGGATGTTTACTAGACTCTTGTCTGAATAGATTTAAGTGAGTTATTCCTAGGAATTACAGGCCTACAATATAAAACATCAAATTTCCATGCAAAAAAAGTACCGCTTTGACATTAAAAAATATTTATTAGTTAGACCGCCAGGGAGGTTAATTGGCTCCTGTCTAAATTGATAAAACAGAAAAAAAATTGTGCGCTGCCAATGTGCTGAATAAATACTGAATAATAAGCTGCTCCAGACATGGGTTATGTGTGTAAACATAAAAAAACAAAATAAATAAAAGTGTCGCGCTGCTAACAACAAACAATAAACACAACTCAAACGTGACTAAAGTCCAAGAAAGTGATGAAAAATAAATTCATCAGAATGTCAAAAAAAGTGGAACAGCTTCCTGCTGGTGATTGAACCCAAAATGCCAGTGCTGCAAATCTTCAATATATGTGAATCACCACAGTGAACAAAAAAGTCCAGGTGGACCTTCACCTTCTCACATGGACCTGTATGTGAGCACAGGTCAAAAAGGCATCTCCCCTATAAGTGGTGTGTGACGATACACGTGGGGAGGAGTCGGGTAACGTCAGTGCTCCAACGCCAATCTGACAGGCAGGATTTTTGCTCTTCACTGATTGCTTTTGGCCGTTGTTTTAATGCTTTTTTCATTTGGTTACCATGTGAATATATGTCTCAATAAATTATATGCCATTTTAACCACAAGCCTACAGGGCACGTATACCCCCTTCCTGCCCAGGCCAATTTCCAGCTTTCAGCACTGTCGCACTTTGAATGACAATTGCGTGATCATGCAACACTGTACCCATATGACATTTTTATAATTTTTTTGGACAGATAGAGCTTTATTTTGGTGGTATTTAATCAACTCTGGGTTTTTATTTTTCTTAAACAAACCTAAAACTACTAAAAAATTTTGAAAAGAAAAATGGTTTTTCTTAGTTTTTGTTATAAAATTTTGTAAATAAGTGATTTTTCTCCTTCACTGATGTGCGCTAATGAGGCTGCAGTGATGGGCACTGATAGGCTGCACTGATGGACACTGATAGGTGGCAGTGATGGGCAGTAATGAGGAGGCACTGGTAGGTGGCACTGATGGGCATTGACAGTGTGGTGGTTTATGTAAGGATTTATTCTACTTATAAAGGGCGGTGTCCCTTTCCCTTAGATGAAATATTACAGTGCCTCCAGCCGTTAAAATACGGCAAATATTTAGTAAACCAATAATTTGGACACCTTGATAATTTGATCACCACTTATTATTAGACCTTGAATTCTTTTAGCCAGTATGATTTCGTACCATACACACAAAATTTGCCTTATAATAGATAAATATAAAAATTTATTTATGTACAAAAATTATATATATATTAACACAAAACGCAAAAGACTGGTGATGAATGAATACTGGTACACACGATCAAAGATATACCCTACCAATATCATACACAATATAATGTTTCTAAATAATGAAAATCAATATAACAATTTTTCTAGATGATGATGATGATGATTAAAAATTAAATTTAGTAATAACTAATAATTTAGAGTATCTCAGAGGTTATTTTCTCACAAAACGTGGCCATAGGATTGGAAGAAGATATTCCCTGATAAATTATACTCTAATTACTAATATTTAATAATTTATCAAATATGAAAAATTTGTAATATATATATATATATAACCACCCAATACAGTTGTTGTCACTCTAAGGTAATTCTTATCACTCTAAACAACAGAGAAAATATGCAATACAAAATTAAATGGACAGTCTCACCACACCCGGAATTCGGACTATGACACTTTCCCAGGGGATTCAACTGACAATGGAACGCCTTCAGATTGATGGCCACAGGGACAAGTGATAGATAGATATGTAGTATAGTAGAGATTCAGAGGTTTAGAAGTTTAGGAGAAAGTTTTTAAAAAGTTTGAAGGGATGGAAGAGGGGTTATTTAGCAGAGATGTCTCTTCAACTTTTCTTTTTCAATCAGTCTTTTAGTCAGGTTCTTTTTTTTTTAATCAGGTTTTTTTTTTCAAATGAGGTGCGTGGCTTTTTATACCATCTAAACTATTGTTCTAAGAGACCCTCCCAACAGGCTTTTGATTGGCCGGTCGAGAAGTGTATGTACATAAGCTATTTCTCACCTGTCCGCCAGGTGGCAGTCATGTACCATAGAACAATTTGAGTATTGATGATGACTCACACCTCGGGTGGAACTCAAGGTGATTTCAGGTATTAAATATACGTCTTATCCAGATATATATAGTTGATCATACCTATAATGTTCTAAATAGGAACCATGGAATATATGTGTATATTCAGTTATTCATTTCCCTGAGATACAAACTTGTGTGAAAGCATTTGTTTCCTGATAAGACATACAACTGATGCTAATTCACAATATATCTTACTTTTCCTCATCTCAATACTCAAGTTAGTGATATACAATCCCCATTCTGCTGAATATATCGTGGTGGGTGAAACATACTCTTTATAACATCCCATTGATAATAGGCTTTTTGGGAATATCTCTGTGGGTAGATATATCCAGTTCTTAGCCTGATATGTCCTAAATTTAATCTTTTTGTTTTAGAACCAAAATTCCCATGAGGAGGAAAGACCCTCTGTTTACCTGTCCATTGTGTTGGAGTCAGGGTAAACAACCATTTATACTTTTAACCTTAGTAAATAATAGTATATTGTGACGGTTCGAGAAGTTTGTTGGTTCATCACACTCTACAAGATTTTGGGTAAACCTTCAACCAGTTAAGTTTCCGTCTCATCGTTGTTCACTTGTTATGACTTAATGTTTGAAGGTCTAAGTCCTATTTGACTGTCTGATTAACTTTTGTATATGCATTCAACTCAACCCCAATATATAAACAGTATTTGTTGACATATCCCATTTTAGCTAGTCTCATAGTCTCCACTTAAAACTCCTCAGAATCCTAGTCTTATACCACCTGTGGATAGTCAAACAGTCTATTGTCTCTGGGAAAAGATCCCTTCACCCATTATTTGCATGTCTTAACTGGAGGGTCCTTTGAATTTTCAACCAAGAAAAGTTAACCCTTAACAGATGGCTAGGCTGGTTTGCTGTCAGAATAAAGTTATGTTTTGATAAATAATTTCAAAAGTCACTACAACAGGCATCACTGATGGGCACTGAAAGGCAGCACTGATACGTGGCACTGATAGGCGGCACTGGCTGGCACTGATAGGAGGCACTGACTGGCACTGATAGGCGGCACTGAAGCGCACTGATAAGCGGCACTGACTGGAACTGATTGGCAGCACTGATAGGAGGCACTAATTGGCATTGATAGGTGGCACTGACTGGCACTGATGGGTGACACTGAAAGGCAGCTCAGATGGGCACTGATATGTGGCATTGATGTGCACTGATATGTGGCATTGGGGCTACACTGATCATCAGGGCACACTGATCATCGATGCCCTGATGATCAGTGTACATGTCCCCGCCGCGGAAAGCCAATTACCGGCTCTCCTCTCGAGCTGTCATGCTGACAGCTTGAGAGGAGAGGAGAGCTGATAACCGGCATTTCCCTGTTTACATGTGATCAGCTGTGATTGGACACAGCTGATCACATGACTGAGCTGACATCTTCGGCTCTTTTCCATGATCTGTGATCCGCTGTGTCCGGGGGACACAGCGCACCGCCGATCGCCGTGCTGCGCACTCCCTGAGCCGCGTATGCGCGGTGAGAATGGGAGGATGTCATATGACGTCCTCCCAGAATGAGAGAACCACCTTGCGTCCGTCATATTACTATATGGTGGGCGGGAGGTGGTTAAAGAAGCATACTGCACTATGGTCTTCTCTGTGGCTCTCGAGTTTTATTCACAGAGCTGACTGTACTTAAATCAGGTGCCATTTGGAAGGTTCAGCGGTGACTCATAAGGGGAAGATTGCCCACAGAGGAGCAAGTTATGTGTTACCCCCACTAATGGTGGAGATGTCTTTTTGACCTGTGCTCACATACAGGTCCATGTGAGAAGGTGAGGGTTCAACTGGACTTTTTTGTTCACTGTCGTGATTCCCATAGTTACATATTTAGTCTGGCTGAAAAAAGACAAAAGTCCATCCAGTTCAACCAAAAAAAAAAAAAAAGAAGTTATCCTATACCCGCAGTTGATCCAGAGGAAGGCAAAAAAAACCCCAGCAAAGCATGATCCAATTTGCTCCTGCAGGGAAACAAATTCCTTCCTGATCCCCCGAGAGGCAATCTGATATTCCCTGGATCAACTTTACCTATAAATGTTAGTATCCAGTTATATTCTGTGTATCCAGGAAAGAATCCAGGCCTTTTTTTATAAAAAAAATAGAGGTATTCACATATATTGAAGATTTGCAGCACTGTGATTTTCGGTTCAGTCACCAGCAGTTCCACTTTTTTTGACATTCGGAAGAATTTATTTTTTATAATTTTCTTGGACTTTAGTCATGTTTGAGTTTTGTTTATTGTTTGTTGTTAGTAGCGTGACACTTTTATTTATTTATCCTGTCTAAATTGGCCCTAGTATGTGTATGTATGAATGCGAGTTAGGGACCTTAGATTGTACACCCCTTGAGGGTTAGGGACTGATGTGAATGTACAATATATATCAGGGGTGGACTGACCATTTGAAAACTCGGGCACTGCCCGAGGGCCTGGGGACAGTAGGGGGTCCAATGAGATGCCCCTGGTACCTTTTTCATAGGCTTTTTTGAGTTTGGGCAAAGACACAGGGGCCCCCATGATCCCCTATTGCCCGAGGGCCCCATGAGTTGTCAGTCCGCCCCTGATATATATGTAAAGTGCTGCATAAGTTGATGGAGCTATATAAGTACCTGTAATTATAATAATAACTTGCTTGCTTCTGCAGCTATCTTAATCCCTCCTTTCTTGCACGTCATAGCCCACCCCTTTCCAGGGAGTGTCTAATTACTGTCTCTGTGTGTGCTGGTCCAGCTCCTCCACTCCTCCACTCATCTCCTACATAACCTTCAATATAGTTGACAGGATGTCTATGCAATGGATGCTTTTACAGGTAAATAACATGCATGAAATGCATTCAATACACATCTAAATTTATAGAAAGTTTGTTTGTGGAATGAATGATCTTTGTGTATGTTGATGACTATATGCTGAACTAAAGAAGGACTTGCTTAGGTAGGAAAATGTGAATTCAAGTAAATTCAGCTTTCATTTGAGATCAATCAGAGATGCTCTTGAGATTCATCTGAGTTCTTTTAGAGGCCCTTCTGACCTGCTTCTGACAACCTTTTAAAGCACTTTCGCATTCCAATCAATTTGTATGGGGAGACATTTCTGGCACAAAGAAAAGCTTGTGTACACAACCCATTGATTGGTAATGTACTTTACGTTTTTTCACTAAAGAAGGTTAGAATAATATGTGATCAAAGTGAATATGATAAAGCTGACTACTTTAACCACTTGCTCTCCAAAGGATGTACCTCCCTTCCTGGCCAGGCCATTTTTTACGATACGGTGCTGCGTTACTGTAACTGACAATTGCGCGGTCATGCAACGCTGCACCCAAATGAGGTTTGTGTTCTTGTCCCACAAATAGGGCTTTCTTTTGGTATTTGATCGGCTGTGTGTTTTTTAATTTTTTGCCCTATAAACAAGAAAATCCCGACAATTTTGAAAAAAAACCCTATATTTTTTACTTTTTGCTATTAACACCTTCTCGCCCACCCTATAGCAGATTGATGGCCGGGTGGTACACTCCTCATTGTGACTGGGTGTTTTATGATGTCCTGTCAAAAGGAGCCGCTCACGCGGCCGCGGAGCAGCGCGATCTGTCACCAGCTGTGTCCATGGGACACAACTAATGACATATCACTACACAGCAGATGACATGTCAATTGTATACAATGGATGGCTTCCTGTCATACCATCCATTGTATACAATTATGTTGTATTGTCAAAGCAATCACATGATACAGACAGGGCCAATCACAGCCCATCTGTACCATGTGATGAGCTTTGCTCAATCACAGCTAATCAGCTAACAGCTAACAAAAGAATCAGTTTCGTTCAGCAACAATGATTGCAAAGATCAATGAAATACATTAGTAATAGAAATTATAATGTGTTAAAAAAAATCCTGATCACTTGCCTAGAGTAGTTCAATGTTACTATGGTAACATTGTATTGCTTTGGTCACAGTGTGTTGAAAAAAAAATAGTAAAAAAAAGAATGTAATACAAAATAAAAAAATAGAAACATTTGAAAAAATAAAATAAAAATGTAATTATTATTATTTTTATTTTTTTTTACATACTGTCACCAGTCAGTGTCTCTGATCACCGCCACACCAGTTATATAATAACGCTGTACTGGACTGGTGACAATATTTAAAAAAAAATATATAATATTGTGATTTTATTATTTTCAATTTCTACATTTTCCAAAAAATTGTAACAAAAACTTACAACCTACAAAAAACTCATCATGCCTCTTACTAAATACCTTGAACTGTCTATTTTCCAAAAATGGGCAATTTGGGGGGTATTTGTACTATCCTTTGTGTTTTTGGGCCTCAAGAAATGAAATGAGCCGTCAGTACATCAGGACTGATCGGTTGTCAGATATACTGTATATACCATGGTTTGTGGACTCTATAACCTTCCTACAGACTAAATAATATACACTAATTTGGGGTATTTTCACCAAAGAAATGTAGCAGAATACATTTTGACCTAAATTTATGAAGAAATGTTATTTATTTGAAAATTTTTTTAACAGAAACAAAGAAAAATGCATTTTTTTCAAACGTTTTTCGTTTTATTTAGAAAAAAGTAAAAAACTCAGTGGTGATTAAATACCACCAAAAGAAAGCTTTATTTGTGTGAAAAAATGATACAAATTTCATATGGGTACAGTGTTGCATGAGCGCACAATTGTCATTCGAAGTGCGACAGCGCTGAAAGCTGAAAATTGGTCTGGGCAGGAAGGAAGTAAAAGTACCAGGTATTGAAGTGGTTAAACATGTCCAGTAAAAAAATAAATAAAAAAAATCTAATTTTGTGATAAATTTAGGCCAAAATGTATTCTGTTACATGTGTTTGCTAAAAAAAATCACAATACCTGTAAATAATTGGTTTACATGAAAGTTATAGCGTTTACAAATGGCGGTATACATACTGGAATTTTAAATTTTTTTTTTACTAGTAATGTCGACTTATAGTGGGACTGTGGCGGGCATTCTGCCACTGGGGGGAACTGGCTTGGTGTCACTGACATCCCCAGTGACACCAATGCAGTGATCAGTGCTAATAAAAAGCACTGACACTGTAGTAATGGCACTGGGCTGGAAGGAGATAACATGGGGGCGATCAAAGGGTTAACTGTGCACTGTGTGCTGTTTTACTACGTGGGCTGTGTGTGTGTTTCACTGTAAGCACACTGCTTTGTATGGCTGTGCTATGCAGAGCCATACAAAGCAGTGTGCAGGAGCTGACAGGGGAAAGATCTGTATTGTTTACGTACAGGTCTCTCCCCCGTCGGAAATCCTCAGAAATTGCCGGGTGCCAGCGGGGAATCACCGGCCGGAACCCGATGATTAACAGCCGAGGCCGCGAATGATGGCGCAGGTAGGGCGCGTGCAGTCCCCCTACCCAGAACTGCAAAATCACGTATATAGACGTGATTTTGCACACCCGTGCCACCCTGTAGCAGTATTTCTGCCATAGGGTGGCGAGGAAGCGGTTAACCATCTACTTACGTGCAATCTTGTTGTTTTCCTTCCATTGCATATGATAGGGCATCCACAATGAAGAGATTTCTGCCTAATTCCCTAAACTAGCAAAACAGTTGCATACTAAGTGAACAATTTCTGCTCCTTTAGTAAATTTCTCAAATTATTTTTATTGGAAAGAAAATACCATGTCAATTTTGGCATCATATTGTAAGTGCTATTGCTTTTATAACTAAACACTGAGCGCCAGAATCATTGCCTCCACTGTCAGAATGGTGAAATCAATTACATTACTGTTCATTCACAAAGAGCCTCCATCAATCAAATAATTTTTTTTTGATTGATCACTATAGCTGTATAGCAGTGCAGTCTTCCTAAGAATCATTGCTACATAGGGATCCATCGCAAGCAAATTCTATAATAGATCACAGACATATTTTCTATTTGCAGCAACCATACTGTATATGTTCAGCATTCACAATGCCTGCCTCATCTGTGTACTGAGGACAGGTCATTTTATTGATTTTTGGGATTATGTGCTTGATTGAAAAGTCCTGAATGTTCTGAAAAAATAAATGTACCATTACTTGTGTCACAGCAGATGTGATACAGCATAGTTTTACTAACCACTGTAATAAAGTGTTCATGTACTTCATGTAATAATGATCCATGATATTCCACTGAGTAAGTTACTGGGAATTTTATTTACCAGCTGTATCTACATTTGTATTCTAATTTTAGGAAAGATGTCATCACTGTCGTTGTTTTTAATTGCTTTTTATATTTGAGCTGAGTGATGCTTGTGGCTCTCATATTCTCTGCTGTTAAATCCTGCTGCTGGGTGAAAAGACTGACT